CTCATAACATAAAGTCATTTATCAAAAAAGCTGTAGATCAATGATTGAATATAAATCAAATGAATAGCGAAAGAGAGAGGGGAAAGAGAGAAAGAGCGAGAAAGAGAAGAAGAGAATAAGAGAGAGAGGCAAAGAGTGTTTGATTGAGATCAACTATGAAGTTATATGAGTGCAGCTCAAAGATCTAGAGGACAGCTGAAGGAAATATCTGCAGATACATTTGTATCTATTGCTCAACTAACTGCAAGCAACTGTATCTAGATATTTAACAATCTATGCTTAGGGCTGTAGATAATTGAGATAATACTATGTTTGATTATAATTCGAATATCTATTAATTACAATAGCTAGAATGTAGCTATGAGTGTATGATATATTTACCAAGCTGATGTATCTTTTGCCTGTATATATATTTGTTCTACTTATGCGAGATCATCATTGACAGCTCTACGTCTATGTGTATGCCTCATGTGGTACATTAACCGAAGCCCCCTTGACTCAACTCACTCACAGTTGTATCTCATTTTTATGAGCCGTCGTCAGATGAAATTAGCTTCAAAGTGATTAAAAGCTAAACTTGAACTGCCAAAGCACAGAGTCAAGTCCCAACGCGCTTTTGACTCACACTCACTAAATTTTGGTTTCTATATCTCTAGCTCTAGCTATATATTCTAGGCAAGGCTTTACTAATGGACAGAGAAGCTCGAGGTGTAACATTGCAATTCTGCATCTGTAGCTGTAGCTGTAGCTGTAGCTGTATCTTTAGCTTTATCTGCATTTGCATCCGTATTTTTAGCTTTAGCTTTATCTGTATCTGTATCCGTATTTTAAGCTTTATCTGCATCTGTATCCGTATCTTTAGCTTTATCTGCATCTGTATCTGTATTTTTAGCTTTAGCTTTATCTGTATCTGTATCCGTATTTTAAGCTTTATCTGCATCTGTATCTGTAACTATATCATTTCGTTGCCTTTCGTTCCCTTTCTCCCTTTCTCCCTCTCCCCCTCTCTCTCTATGTCTCTCTCTCTGCCTCTGTCTCTGTGTCTGTTTTTCTAGAGCCCATTATCCACAGGGAGTCGAACACAATGACCCCAACTGTTCGACCAACAATAAGCTTTGATTTTTGTTCAGATTTACATAAAAATTAAATGAAGAAGAAGAAGATGAAGAAGTGGAAAAGAGCGCTTAGCAATTGTTCAAACAGCTCAGATTATGTGAATATATGTCTTTGATTATACACGAAATACGCGTATCATAAAATATGAAAAGGCTTCTTCTCTTTCTTCGCCAGACAATGAACAGCCACTGAATAAGCAAGTGTTAAGTTCTGCGGGCATTCAGAATGAGTTGAACAATAAATATAAACGAAATAACTGCATGTTAAAGTAGCTTGTAAAAGTGTAGCTAGCTGTTAAATATAACAATTGAGCAATAAAAATGCTAAATGACTTGGACAATTAACAGGCACTTAAGAGGCAAAACTGCATGTTAAAGTGGCTTGTAAAGCTTTAACAGCCGGTCAAGCCAACGCGATGTGCCTGTTGGACTCGATTAGCTTTTAAATGATTCGGTCAAGCATATAAAGTCATTTAATGCGCATAATTGTAGAATGTGAAAGATAACAGTTGCTTAATTGCTGCATAGCTGAATGGCTGAATGGCTGAATGGCTGAATGGCTGAATAGCACGCTTACTTAAGCGAACAAGCGCTTGTCAAGTGTTAGCTAAACATGACTAGATGCCAAGAATGATAGCAATTGGCTTAATTGAACTTAATGAATTTAACATGAGCTTAGCTGCCAGTGTTGCCGTACAGCTAAATTTAACTGGAAGCTAAACTATGCCCAGTTATCATTATGCAATGTGAATGAAGGCTTTACCGCCGCTGAATGTCACGTTTAATTTGAGCTATCTCAAAGCTGGGCTCGCATATCTCAGCATACGAATTGCTGGCCATAATTGACAAGCCTCATGCATGGCGAGATCTGTGCGAGCCAACTATATCTATATACTTATATATATTTTTAATTATAACAGCTTGGCAGACAGACAGGCGGACAGAGAGACTGAGTGACTGACTGATTGACTGACCGTAGTTGAGTTTAGTCAGCAAGTTCAATGGACAAACAATTTCACATAATTGAATAATTTCAATGCATTCACAATTAACAAGCAACCATTGTGAATTAGCCACTGCAGCGGCAGCTTAATTAGCAACATGCGGAGCTGACAGCTTGAATCAACTAGAACCAATTCCAGTTGACATAACTGACAAGCAACATGGCCAGCCATCGGGCCAACAGCCAACGTACAAGCAACCTGCCTGATGCAATCTGGCTTATGCAACGACCACTTGGCCAAAAGCTGCCATTGCAATTGGCCACAACTCAGAACTGGGTCGGCACCTGATGGCAGTTGCATTGAGCATTGAGTTGACCAGTTGAGCGGCAGCTAGCTTCAATTGATATACAAGCGAAACGACAAGGCGGAAGCCTTGGCTAAACCAGTTTCATATTCCCAAACGTTCCAAACTATATAAATAATATATATATTTATTATTAAAAATTAGACATAAATGAAGCAGAAAACTTCTGTTTTTTTTTTAAATGAAGTGAGTGTTCCAAATTCCATATCCCAGACATATATTTGTACATAAATAATTTGTAACAACAAATTTGTTTTTGGAGAGCGAAGTCAGTGTTTCACATTCCAATCCGTTTCATATATTATATATATTTATTAAGAAAATATAAAGAAAGCTTAACGCTTCCCTCTCTAAAGAGCGTATTGAATATTCCATATTCCAAAACGTTCCATACACTAAATATATTAAAAATATATATATATATAAATAGCCTCAAATTTCTGTTTTTAGAGAGCAAATTGAGTGTTCCAAATTCCAAACCATTCCACATATTATATGTGTAATATCTAAAACCAAAACATAAAGAAAGCTTCACGTTTGTTTTTAGGGAGTAAAATGAATGTTCCAAATTCCAAGTCATTCCACATTTAAAAAGCCAAGAGATGGCTGCAAAAGCTCACTGAATTCCACCTAAACACGTGGAAAATGAATGACATATATCTAAAGGATATATGTGTATGCATATAGATATTTCTAAAGTAAAGATGGAATATGGAATATGGAATAAGGAATGGATATATATAGCTTTCCATCTATATGAATGCCTTAAGACTCGTCGTTCGTTTTCATGCGGAAGAGAGTGCGTCGTTGTTGTCTTCTTTGCCTTGTCTTTATTTTTGGCTGCATTATGAGGTGGGGGAGGGGCGAGTGGTAGTGGTGGTGCTGGTGGTGGGGGCGTGTCTGGGCAGGCCTTATATGTATGTGCATATTATTGTATTTTAATTGCGTAACGGCAAACGTAGGCGGATGTTTGCTCAGTGCCACTGTGCGGCCAGTGCCAGTGCCAGTTTCACGCACAGTGTGGCAAAAACAAATATGGCAAAACCCATTTCCGCATGTCAACGAAATCAGAGTCAAAAGCTGCGATGCGTTGCATTTGAGATTCAGTTAAAATGCAGCGCAAGAAGAGGAAGAAGAAAGTGGCAAGTGGCAAGTGGCAAGTGGCAGCTGAATGCCGCAAAGCTAGATCGAGAGTGTGAGCGGGAGGTAGACAGAGAGAGAGCGCTGAAGATCTGCTTAGTGTAGAATTGTCTAGGGCTTGCTTTGAAGCCCTGGAGCGAAGGTTTCGAAAGGGCGACTACAACTTTTACTTTGAACTGGATAAATGAGCTATGCAGCGGACAACGTTTTTGAGACGCGTGAAGTGAAATGCAAAGAAAGACAGAGGGAGAGAGGGAGGGAGAGAGAGAGAGAGAGAGAGAGGGAGGGAGGGAGGGAGAGAAGCACGTAGACAACATTTATTGCTAAATGCACGAAACTTTTTGGGCTTTGGGGCTGGACACGCATCGCTAACTACGTGCGCAGACCAACTGGGTGCTGGCGTCCATATGGCGTCTATAGCCACACACGCACACACACACACACGCCTGCCTAGCCCCTATATGGTCTGTAACTTTTAGTTTTCAAGTGAAGACGTTTGCTGAGCCGCAGTTCGAGCGAAGGAAGGGCATGGGGATGGGGCAGAGTGAAGTAAGCGTAGCTGCAGTTGTGGGTGGCAGGGGGTAGGCAGCCAAGTCTATGACCATGTCGACGAGGCAGCGTCGTAAATTGTAAGAAATTGGAAGAAAAACGCGCAATAATTAAGCGAATCAAATGTGAAGCAAAAGCCAAGAGCTGCATAAAAGTGCGATAAAAGCAGATTAGGATATATGTGAATATATATAGACAGAGTGAAAACAAAGCCGGACTAAGCGCTACTCTGCGAAGGCTAAGACTAGGCCAACAACATCGATACTTATCGGTTTTTCTGCTTTAAGCTAGGAGGAAGAAGCACATATATTTGCTGTCTACAGCTGCCAGCATACCCCATGTGCAATGCGTACAGGGTATAAATATAAAATAGAAATTGTAAAAAGTAGAAGAAAAAGTCGTTTATTTCAGATGTAACTCGATGCGTTTGGAGTCGTTGCTGGTTGGCGTTGCACATAGCTCAACGTATAATTAAAGTGAAACTGCGCCAACTATATATCTATATATATATAGATATATATATATATAGATAAATATCTGCTGATATACATCTTGTAAAGTCAGTCAGTTAGCAACTGAGCTGCCGCCGCTTGGCTGCAATTTGAGTTTATTTTTAGATGTATCCGTGGCTTATGATATCATGTCATATAATATTATCATATGATACGATATGACATGATATGATGGGCTGTTATATATGCTCGACTTGAGCACAATTGAGGGCAACGCACTTGGCTCGACTGCAGCCATAACCCAGAAGAGTTAGAGTTATACAATAAGGGGATCTAGAGATCAGCTGACTATCCCCAACTGCCCCAGTAGAGACATGGAGAGCGAGCGAGACAGAGCCACTTAGTCTAATGCATGCCGTTTCTTTTGCACTTGCAGCAATGTCATAATGGAGCCAATGACCATGTTGGTATTGGCCTTCCAGCTGCTGGCGCTCTTCTCGATAGCCGGCGCGCTGTTGATCTATTTGATATGCAAGGTGCGCGAGGAGAGCCAGGTGGGCAATGGCGAGCTGCCAGCCAGCCGCGTGGTGCTGGTGACGAGCGCCGATACGGCGCTGGGCCTGCAGCTGTGCACGTATCTGGCGAACAAGGGCTGTCGCGTCTTTGCCGGCATGAAGGAGGCGCGCGATTCGCTGCCCGCCAAATTGCTCTGCGGCTGGATGAAGATACGCGAGTATAGCGAGGAGCCCATCAGCGGCACGATCATACCCATGCGCCTGGACGTCACCAGGGAGGATGTGCTGAGAGAGGCCACCATTGCTATGGGCGCCCATCTGAATGCGAACGAGCGCGGCATTGCGGCCGTCATCAATACCAGCGGCAGCGTGTATCGCGGACGCGTCGAGTCCCAGGACGTGCAGCAATGGGAGCAGATGCTCAAGACGAACATACTGGGCACGCTGCGCGTGGCCAAGGCCTTTGTTGGCCTGCTGCGGCCGACACGCGGCCGACTACTCTATCTGGGTGGCAGCAGTGCCGGCGCCAGCATGGGCGGCGACGGCCTTGTCGCCTTCAATGCATCACGCGTCGCCGTCGAAAAGTGTGCCGAGGAGCTGCGCAAGGAGCTGCAGCCCTATGGCGTCAGCATCGTTGCCCTGGACACCTGTGGTATGACCGCCGAGTCGCTCTACAAGGCGCCCGTGGCGCAGAGTAAGTATAATCCCATGCGCTTATCTTTAACTAGTAATCTAATGCTCCATTTGGTTTCTCATCTGCCAGCCATGTCCCAGTGCCCGGGCGCACCCACGCAGTATACGGCCGATGTGCTCAGCTCCAGCGCGTTGCAGATGATCGAGCGGGCGCTTTGGGACTTTGTGCCGCAGCAGCGTTACGCGCTGCTCTCCCATAACAAGTATCAATTCACGTTGCCATGCCGCTCCTCGCTGCGTCTACATCGAGCCAGCAGTGAGGCCGCCACGCAGTCCGTTTAGATAGAGGAGCAGACAGAGGGAGGATATATAAAAGAGAGAGAGAGAGAGAGAGAGAGAGAGTAGTTGATGGAGCTAAATGTCAACCTGGGCATGGATCGCAGCTTATATACTTATACAATACTTTTTCTGTACATACGTATAAAACACACACACAGACACACTCACACACACACACACAGCTATACACAAACACACACAAAATCGTTTAACATTGTATTCAGTTATCTATAATCTATATACGCCCAACTGTTTTAACATTTTTTTAATGTTTATATATTTAATATTTTTTGTGCCCTTTTTTATATAAATATATACATATATATATACATATATATATATATATATATATATATATATAAATTGACAATATGTGCACATTTTGTGAATTTATAGTTTCATGATTTATATATATATATATATATATACATATGTATGTATATATATATGCAACAAGAAAAACATATCAAAATATATATACATACATTTATATATATATATATACATATGTGTGTAAAATTTGTAATTATATATTTGAGTTTTCTTTGTCGATGGCCGTCGACTGCTTCTATTCGTATCTGGAAATGAAATCGTAGCGCAGCACCGAGGCACTGTAGATCTCTCCAGCACATGCCTGCGTTTTGGCAGCTGTGCGTCCGGGCAAATGGATGAGCACATCGGCGCCGACAATGCTCTGCAATCGGCTGCTGATCTGAAATGGTTTTGTCAATTAGTTTGGATAGATTTAGTGGTGCTTTATAGTGATCCACTGTTACCTGATTGCCATTGACGCTGGCATGCAGCTGGCCATTGATGCTGGTCACCGAGGCGCGCACATATTCAGGACGACTATCCAGTTCGATGGCTTCATTGAGTAGCTGTAAAAGAGTTGATGAAAGTGATGTCAAGCAGTTGCCATGGAATTTGTTTATAGATGAAAAATAAAGGAAAAAAGTGAATTGATCAATTACAATAAAGCTAAGCTGATAACAGACAATAAATAAATTTAATTAGAGAAGAATCTGTACATTAAATAGCAGCTGATCGATACTGATCGATTTTGAAGTCTGCAAAGAGGGCTGACATAGGTAAAGTATTTCGAGTATGATTTGCTTTCATATCTTGTGTATGCCAGTTTATCTACAACGTTTATCTGTGGCAACATCATAGCATTCGCACTTAATCTACATTTTGGCTTACTTTGTCGCAAACATGTATATTTGTTTATGCTTTTAAAACGATAACATAAAAAAAAACTAAACTGAATGCTGAAATATTTAAAGTGTCTTTTCAAGTGGCTCTTATCGCATTTTGGCAGAGGGTCTAAAGAGATTACGCTGGCGCGTCGTATCAATGCAATACTCACAGCTATATCAAAGGCATAAACGGAATAATATATATATATATACGAATTGATTGATCGATTCCAATCATCTGTCATAGTTGAGGGGCATTAACTAATCAACTTCGCAATGAAGACAAGTAAATACATATGTGAACAAAGTGAAGAGCAGATAGTTTGAGGAATTTCACAATGTGTTGAAGAGACTGGTTTTCCACTTACTGATACATTGATTATGGGCAGGGAGCATTTGACACGTTCCCAGCCATCAGCCCAGCGGATGGCGGGTAAAGCGAACAGATGGAATGTAACAAAGGCGGACACTGGATTGCCGGGCAGGCCAAAAAAGTATTTATTCGACCTGCTGGCAAAGGTCATCGGCTTACTGCAAATTCAAGTTTCAGTTAGTTTATCAGCCAAGTCTTCAGGATGAATGTGTATTGGACCTACCCGGGCTTCATGTTGACGCGTCCGAAATGCAATTTAAATTGTAGATCCTCCAGCACCGGCTTGATGTAGTCCTTGTCGCCCATTGAAACGCCGCCACTGCAGATGACAAAGTCTACAGTGTCAAACAAATTAGACAGGCAGCTTTTAATGGTGGCCAAGCTGTGTAAAGTGGTTTAATTAGTGTGTTGATCTATATGGTCTATATAGCTATGAGCACCCACTCGTCGCCCAGCACAAACTGGTGCCTGCAATCAAAGCCAAAGTAGAGCAACAGCTCCTTCAGCATTGTTGTATTCGAATCATAGATTTTGCCAGCCACTGGCGGCTCCTGGGGTGGCAGCAGCTCGCTGCCGGTTGAGACAATGGCCACTTTGGGCTTGTATTGCTGCTGCTCAACACCAACGGAGGCCAGCAAGGATTTGTAGACAACCGGCGAGTAGTCCGCAGCTGGAAACACCTTGTCGCCCTTGAGCAAATCGTAGCCAACAGGACTACAAGAAATAGAATAGAATTATTTTAGCCAACAAATAGCATCAATGCATATCTTACCGTATATCCAGACCGGATTTTGGTTCGACCAGTATATCAACAAGACTCTCTTCGCCATATTTGTCGCGCTGCAACAGTCTAGTGTCTTCCACCTGAACGACACAGTCCGCATGCGTCGGTATCGGCGCGCCCGTATTGATCTTGAAGCATTCGTCCTCCTGCAAGGGATGTACATTGACCTGCAGTAAAATTTAAGTAGTTAATAACATGAAGTGATTAATATTAATTGACTTGACCTTGTCGCCGGCTGCAATGCAATCCACGACACGTTTCGTGCCCGAAAACCCAGACGACTTCATTGCATAGCCGTCTTTAATAGAGGCCCGAAAGGGGGGTATATTGACCGGTGAGAGCAACAGGTCCATCTGCTGTTTGCGCACATTGTTGCGCTGTACCACATCTAGTATAGTATCAAGTGCCTGATGGACCGGCAGCATGGGAAACGGTGAATTGCGATCGATATCGTCGCCAGCGCCCGTCTTGTGCGGACAGACGTGATCGCGTTTCAATAGCTGCGGTAATGCGGGTGTGTTTTGAAAGGTGCCCTGAACCTCAGCATGCGTCCGCTGCACTAGTGCCACATTGTTGCCAATTAGATGGAGAGCGTGTGGTAGCAGTTCGCGGACTGCCTCGAAACATTCGGCCACGGCCTTCTCGCTGCCTGGAAAGTTCAGTACGAGCGTATTACCGGCAATGCCACAAACGCCGCGCGATAAGGCTGCAAATTTGGTCTTTTTCAGCGAAGTCAAGGCAATAGCCAAGGTCAATTGATTGCAGTCCTTGTCGAGCAGTGGTTTCGTTGCCTCTGGCGTCACATCACGCGGCGCAAAGCCCGTGCCACCAGTTGTAATTATGATGCTCACATCGTCGCGATCGATCCATTTGCGCAGTTCCCGCTGTATTAGATCACGCTCGTCGGGCAACACGGCCGATACCACCTGCGAATTGTCAAAGGATTCGGCAATAAGTGCCTTCAAACGTGGCCCACTGCGATCCTTTACCGGCTCATGGTAACAGGTGTCACTAACTGTAATCGCATAGTAATCGAATTGGAAATGGTGCTAACCGGCTATTTGAATATGGCTTACTTGTCAAAATTCCGAACGTTATCGACTCCATGGCTACATTTATATAATGTGAATAGGTATGCAGCGCTTGTTGCTTTCAATTAAATTGTTTAATATACCGTTTAGCACTGGATCAAATACATAAAAAAAGACGAGTATGTATACAGTTAGTTTGCCGTTTGAAATGCAAATTGCATTTGTTAAGCGAAATACTTATTTAGATCTATATAATTAACAAATATATCTTTTATTAGAGATCTTAGTCTTACAAAATTTATTGCTTGCAACTAAATTGTTTAGTAAAGCGTTTTGAAGTCCGTCAAAAGAACTTTTCGATTGCTATGACCGCTTCGAGGCGTTTGTACATTTTTAGTACTTTTTTTGTATAGTAAAAAGTGAGTGTGTACACACGGCACACGAATTGATCGCCGGTTGAGAATCGCGGCTTGAATTCATTTAACATATTTATTATACACATGTACATATGCACGTGTATATATAATGTACAGCTGACATAATGCTAATGCTTATGTTTTATTTACACTACAATATAACAATACAATAAAAAAAAGAATATTTAGTGTAACAATCAACTGAACGTCACATATCTTCACTGGGCAATGGCCATTTTTATTTGGTCGGAATTTCCTTGGTGCGTTCTTCCAATAGCGGATCGTAGCCCGCAGCCATTTTCTCCTTAAACTGTTCATATGTGCGCTTACGGTCAAAGTGTTTCACCCACTGGCCGGGACAGCCTTGCTCGAATGCTTTACGCATTTTCTGGCAGGCACTTGGCACTTTTTCGCCGCTTGTTGAGCTGTGCTTGGGAGCATTCTCGTCCAGACACTTCCAGTATTCGTCACGCATAGCCCAGCACTTGGCACGCTGCGCTTTGTCGGGGAAACTCATCTTTGGCAGTGGCTAAAATATTTTTGTAGTTGACTTTGACTCCAGTGCCGCCCGTCGGTCTTTACTTTTCTCCTGTCAGTTGTAGGGACCAATAAGCACGGTCTCTTCACACCCTCGTTCGCCAGTCAATATGCCTATTAACAATTCAAATTATGTTTAATGTTATTTATTGTTCAACAAATTTATTAAAACCAACCTCAAAATTACAAAACATACAACTGCCAAAACAGTGTGCCCAGACTTTCACTAACCAAGAACAGCTGATTGCAAAAAAAAGTAACTGAAGAATTCAATAGTGTTGCACTGGATATATTGGCGCCACAATTTAAATCAATGTCCGTTAAAAGCAGGGATAGTAAGACAACTATTTCGGTCGTATTACAATTTATTTGATTTAATATCTCAATGACTTATATTTAACATTATTGGTATTAAATTTCAACTAATTTTTAAGGTGAACTACTTAAACAAATTGTATATGTATACAAATTAAAGTATTTCTTAAAAAAAAAAAAAAACCAAAAAGAAAACTAAAAGTAAACAAAACAAAACAAAACAAATAATCGCAGACGGATAACAATAATAATAATGAGTGGTGACTACTTAAATTCTAAATGGTGTGCATCGAAACCGTTATACATATACTATATGTAAATGTCGCTTAAATGTTTTACAAATTACGTATAGAAAATGCTGTCCAAGTGCAAGTGAGAGCGCAATAAATGCCCCGTTTTGTGGACTCTAAAACACCTACGACTATATATGTATACATATATAATATTATTATTATGTTTTTTTATTGTGTGCATAGACACAATTGAAGTGAACCCTAGGAACACTGCAAATCTCAATGCGATGAAAATGGTTGTGTTCTCTCGCTAACATTCATGTTACAGCAATAAAAAATATATATTAGTATATATATAGTATGTAGATCGTATAACTAAGCTTGTGTGTGTGTGTGTGTGTCTGTGTGTGTGTGTATGTGTCTGTGTGTGGGTATGTGGCTGTGTGTGTGTATGTATGTGTATGTGTGTATGTATGTATGTATATATATATATATATATATATATATATATATATATATATATATATATATATATGTGTGTGTGTGTGTGTGTGTATGTGTGGTATTACATTTCAGCAGTGATAGCTTATATATATTATTCATATTTCTAGTGTACATACATACAAACATATAAACACTAGATACACAGACCCCACATAGATATAGGTATATATATATATGTATGTATATACATATATATGCATGTATACATGTATTTAGCATATGAATTTGTAATATTCAAATATTATAAATTTATTACTAGCTGTTGATGTGATTCGTTAGACGCAAGGATATGATTGGAACTGAAATGAAGTAAGTATTCACATCTAAAAATGCATTGCAGTCAATGTTCTTTTTTTTATTATAATTATTATTATTATTATATTGTGTTCTATTCCTGTAGTACCATGTCTAGCCATAGTAGCCCCTGCACTACTATAAAGTTGGGGTCTAGTTGGGTATCTTTGAAAGCTTTTCCAGGCACTTGTGGCTAACGAGCGCAAAGCTTAATTTGGCCAATTACAGTTACTGCTAACACAGTTAACAGTAACAGCACTGCTTTGCTGTTAAGACTATGAACAAAACACGGCAAAGTTGTCAATAGGCGACCGCAAATACATTTACAATAGACTCTGTGTTTTGCATATATATATATATGTGTGTGTGTGTGTGTGTATGAATATGTATGTGAGCATTGTGTACATAAAACATGTTTGTCTACTATCAGTACCGTAGTCAGTACAAACACACATTACAATTTCGATTACGATTTTGTTATGAATTACTTATAATTATTTTTAAAATTTTTTTTTATGTATTGTGGCTAAAGCAATTTTGCTAGACATGCATAAAAAAAAGATATTTATTGTTAAATTCACAATGAAGTGTGTGTGTTGTTGTTGTCGCTATTGTAAATTTGTTGTTGCCAATGGTCTGCCTTGAAACTTGTTGAATAATGCCAAACTATATGTATATCCAATATTTAAAATACATATAATTAATTATATATGCATAAATTGCTTGCCTTGACTAGTTACAAATTCTCAGCATTTCATTTTTCTTGATCGCATAAATGTATATAATATTTATATAATATAATCTAGATACGTAAGGGTATATGTATATATTTATTAATATATATAGATATATATGTATCTGTATACATGTATATATCTTTGCTTAAACATACTGTATTGCACAACGTGACATACAGCTTAAAATTTGACCAAAAACTAAAAATAAACATAAAATGTAAATACATAATTATCTCATAAAAACAAATGCACAATAAAAACAAAGTAATTGATATATATATATACGTATATATATATAGAGCATATATAAATGATAACTAAAGAAAAAAACCTTGAAACTTTTGGCAGTCGAGGACCAACAGCAACAAAATCAAAATAAAAATAAGAATTCAACACAAACTTCTAAAGTTGCTGCCATACTTTCTTTTCTCTTCTTGTTGTTGTTGCTATTGGAACTGATTTTGATTTTCTAGACATATATATATATATATAAATATATATATAAATATCGTATGTGTATGGCGCTCTTTTTTGTGTGATGCTTGGCAACTTGGCTAGGCCAAGAGTCACTGTCTCCGTCTCCGTCTCTGTCCTTGTCTGTCTCTATCTCCTTCTCTATCCATGTTGTGTGTGTGTCCGGGTGGATGTGTGTGCGTGTACTCGAGTGGATTTGGTATTGGAATCATTTAGTTACCGCTGTTATACTACCTACAGTTGTTCTGAACTACAGCAGTGGCTCCTTGACATGCTGCTGTTGCTGTTGCTGTTGCAGTCCACCTGTTGTCTCCTCGCCAGCTATTGGCGATGCATTCGAACTGGAGGGTGTGTGTTGTGCATATTTGCAGGAGGCCGTGAGACACTTACAGCCGGCACCGCCACGCTGACTGCTGCGCTGTTCAGCACGCCAGAATTTCTCGCCATAATCAAAGCTGCAAATGCAACAGAAACTCAATAATAATCGAAAAGTTCATTTGTTGTGCACACCAACCATATCTCCTCGCCTGCATCGATGTCGCGACAAGCGAAGAATGCAATTTTCGGAAAACGATAATCCTGATGTTCATAGAAAACGCGTACAGGCAATATATTTGGCTCACACGAATGGTTGAAGAAACGACTTATATTTCCGTAGTAGTTGGCATCGATGCAATGTCCGTTGTCCAGATCAAAGTAATAGCTGTCATCGGTCCGTCGATCTGCCTCATGGGCTGTAAGTAGCTCGCCCGTATAGCTGGCCACAAAAGTGCCCTTGGGCACATTGGCCAAGGCACGAACGCCCCAACCCTTTGTCGGCTCCTCACACTCAACAATCTGAAGCGGAATCCTAGTGCCATTTTGTACGACACGATTCTTGCAGGATAACTGGAAAAGGAAAAATGCAAAACAGGTCAAGTAAAATATTTACATTTTGGCAACTTTGGCATCTACTTTACCTGATTACAGCCGCAGACATCATTGCATTCAAATATCACCGCCGGATCCTCGTAGTTGAAGTCGCAATTTAAGCGACTCTCCGCCGTATACCAGTTCTGTGAGGATGCTCCATTGCATTGGCACTGATCGCTGCTGCAGCTATCCAAGCACGAGCAGATGCGCATCTGTGAGACGCGTCGATCGATTTGCACCGAATTCTGCAGTATAATGCAATTGACAATGTATTTAAAGTCTGGCCACATTAGAGCATCGGCCTCGTCCTCATGCTCCGACATAGTCAATTCGTTGCGCACCGCCTGTATGGGTCGAATTTCGCGTCCATTCGAAGCATCCGCACAGACGACCCGAGTGCGTAATCCTAGCGGTCGAAAACTGCGCATCTGCATGTTGAAGCCAACGGTGCGGCCACAAACGGAATCTTCGTTCGGTATGCAATCAAAGGGCAACTGTTCCGCCTTATTCTTGATCATCAGATCGGCTCCGTTCGCTATCAAAACGATGCACATCCGAGTCACCGAGTGACGACACGCAATGTGCCTATGAGAACGATACGAAGATTATATTAAATGAACAGAATTTTTTTTATTCTACATACAGTGGCGTATCGCCTTCCACATTCTGCACATTGCAATCGGCTCCCGCCTGCAGCAGCACCGTTATAGTCTCCAATCCATCATTGTGCAGCGTGGACCAGTGCAGCACCGTGTTGTTGTCATTGTCGCATATATTGGGATCGGCGCCATGATTAAGCAGCAGACTGTAGAAAAGGAAATGAAAAACAAATTTACACTGGAGGAAAACGTAAGCAATGATCGATGATGATAGTTATTTGGCGAAACAATTTAACCAAAAAGTAACGACTGTTTCTTTGCCACTGTCAAGTTAAGGTAGTATGTTGATGATTGAAATTATGTATAATTGTCAAGTGCGCATCAATATCTGTGATTAAAAATGAAGTCGCTCGCACCTAACGATATCCTTGTGCCCCAACTCAGCTGCCCAGACCATGGCTGTCCAGCCACCCTCATCTTGGGCATTGATGAAGCACAGAAAGTTGGTAATATTACGGGAGCCGCGATACGCATCCACAATTAGTTGGGCAGCTTCCAGGTTACCCAGCTTTGCGGCAATGTGCAGACTGGTCATGCCATCGGGACCCTGCAGAAGACAAGCTTATACAGCTATACGAAAGTCCTACACAGTTAGTTGAGATAAGACACACCTTGATAGCCACATCGGCGCCGCATTGCAGGAACAGATTAAGCATATCGCATTTGTCATTCATCACAGCGCACATCAAAGCCGTGCGCAATTCACTGTCGACTATGTTAACGAAGCCCTGGGAGCTGGCGCCCTTACACAACAGCAGATAGGCCATTTGCAAAGTGCCCGAATGGGCGACCAGGTGCAGGCAGGTACCATTAAGAAATTCACGCATTCGTGTCAGCACATTGTAATCGGCAGCTGTTGAACAAGATAGATTGGACCGATTAAAACGTAAATAGAGAATGTGATATATTGTATGATCTACCCAATATCTCGGCAACACGCTCTAGGTCATCGTTCTGCACAGCATAGTACATGTCCCGGGTATTGAATTCGGTGGTAACACGTCCACTGGACGAAACAATCCGATCGCGCAGCACCACGTTCATCACAGACTCGGGTATGAGTTGCTCGAAGCTGATCACATTCAATGCCTGGCCAGAGGCATTTCCTCCATTTGTCTTGCCTCGTGTACCATTCGATTTGGCACTGGCCGCTTTGCCACGTGCTCCCCCAGTTGCTGGCTTAGCAGAGCTGCCGCCAGCTCCTGTCGCTAGCTTTGACCCAGCTCCAGCTGCACTGGTGAACTGAGGTAAATGTGATGAGGTGGTCAACTTGGCGGGTTTACTACGAATAGTGTTAAAAGAAAGTTAAGTTGATTTTGATATGCATCTGGAATTGTGGGCAACTTACATTTTAGTCTTCTGTGCGGGCAGAAAGACGGGCAATGTTTGGCATTTCATGGTCACCGTGGAGGTACGCTCGGGCGTATCTAGTCCGCAATGTGGACACTTCAACACGAGCAGTGGGCTAATAAAGTTGCCCGGATTTGTGGCTTGCTGCTGTGCATCGTAGGGGCTGTTGAGTATGAAGCGTTGCGCGCAATCTGGATGAAAGAAGTGCTGCTGCTTACATAGCACAAATTTGCCCTGCAATGATAATTAAGGATTGGTTGCTTAACTGATTGCCTGAGCTTCTGCTAACTGGCTTACCTGGGTGCAAAAGATTCCACAGCCGGCGCAACAATTGTGCGCTTGCAAGCGCTTCTTGTGCTCATCGCAGAGTATCATATAGCCTACACGCTGGCTGGGACGCAGCAGATTGTGCACCTCGGCGGCTAGCTCATTGCAGCAGCCAATCTTCTGCTCGTCAATGTTGTCGATGGCACAACAAAAGGATGCATCCGGCGCATTCCGTGCATAGTACTGCGAGCTGCGCTGGCACAAGCAAATGAATTTTACACCAGCCGCCGAAGAGCCAGAAGCAGCAGCAGCTGCTGCTGCTGCTGATGTACTGGCTATGGCATCGCTGGCATCGTTAGATGCCAAAATTGTGCTGTTCAGCGTATGCAGCTGACCATGCTCCAGTGTGGTTGTTGCTGCTGCACCCGCTCCTGTTGCTGCTGCTGTTGCTGTGGCATTGTTGCCACGCACGCCCATGCGACGCGTTAGCTTTGACGGCACAGCGGGCGTTGGCGGCGGCTGCAGCGCTTGCTTGGCTCCAGTTACAGCAGGATTAGCTTCCTTAGTGGCATTGCGCAGGCGCAACGTTACACTGGGCTTGCCTACTTGGACGCGTATGGTGGGCACGAACTCCTCGTTGTCCGTGTTGGAGCTATCGTTGTCGCTAGCCTCTTCGCTGTTATTGCGACGCAGACCCAAGTGCTTGAGATGCTTCTCCTTTTGTTTGGCCAACTTGCGCTGCTGTTTCTTGTTCAATTTGCGCTCTTCGGGCGAACGATTCGCATTCAGCTTGGCGGCTTTGATATCGCTCAGAAATTGGTCCAGGTCGGGGCTGGGACGCACACGGCTTTTCGCTCGCAGCGCCGCATCCGAATTGTCAATGTCACGTTGAGCCTTGGAGAAGAGACGTTTCTTAATCGCATTCGTGCCCACTGGATGCTGCTCCACTCCGCTGCCGCCATCCGATTTCTCACTCTTCTGCCTTGATGTTGACGAATTGGAGCTGTACGCTTGCAGCGGCGTCTCGAATTGTAGCCCCCCGCCGCCATCTGCCTCAGCTGCCGCCGTCGTTGTCGCCTCCCAATGGGTCAACCGTTCGATGTGCTTCGTCTCGAACTCGCAGCGCAGCTCCTCGTTCTCCAATATCTTTGTGGTGGGCTTGATGCGTCGCTTCGAACGCTTGGGCAGCTGCTGCTGCTCCGCGCTACCCGAAGACGTGGCCGCAGACTGCGAAATCGCAGCGCGCTTGTTGCCATTGGAGAGTGCCAGCGACGCAGCGCTGATGCTCATGGCAAGGATATTGCCACTTCCACTTCCGCTGCCGCTACCACTGCTGCTGCTGCTGACGCCGGGTGCAGCTTGTGACATGCCCTGGCTGCTCGCATCGATTCGATTTGGCGGCGCAGGTATTTTAGCTTTGCGCCCACGCTTCTTGGGCGGCGTCTTTTCATCCAACACAACGGCTATTTGCAGCTGGTCAACAGCTGCTGCTGCTCCTCCTCCAGCAGCTGCTGTTGAGTGGTGCATTGGCAGCTCACTGGCCGACAGTGGTTCGACTTTGATGTCTTCTGACCAGGCTTGCGCCTGATCCACACGATTGCCCAGACGCACGCTGCGTCGCATTCTTTTGCCATCGCCACTAGGCGCCGCTGCCTCCTCATCCTGCTGCTCGGTCTTGATGCTCACCACTGGCAAATCCGGCATTAGCGGATCCTCCTCGTGCAGCTTGCGCTTGCGTCCCACCTTACGCTCTACTGCAGCGGACTCCTCTGGCAATGGAGCCTCCTCCAATGGCATCTCCGCCTCGGGCTTTATCTTTTTGGCACGTCCACGTCCACGTTTTGGTGCTGGCGGTGGCGCAGTATTTGTGGCTTCGCCATCGTTAAGGTTGCACAATTTTTCTGGCTCTTTTTTCACATCACTGGACGTTTCTTCTTGTTCATGTTCCTGCTCCTGCTCATGCTCTTGCTCCAGCTCCAATTCGTGCTCCTCAGCTGCCAAGGGCGTTGGCGTCGTTGTGGGCGTATCCGTGGGCCGCGGCGTACGACGCAAGCGACGTATGCTGACCGCAACATTTTGTTCCTGTGGACAAGGAACAGTAGAGAAGACATTAGATCAAGTAACAAATGCAAAAAAGACAACAGGTGTTAATTGCTCTTAAACACACACACACACACACAAAGTGAGAGAGAGAGAGGGTTCACATATGAAGTTATTTAAGCAATCAAAGGTTTCCAACTTTCCTTGCGTTTCATTCAGTTCATTCAAAATATATGTTGATTGTTTTGACAATATTTCTATATATTTATGTATATATAAAGCGCTCTCGCTCCCTCTTATCCATCTCTCCCTCTATATATATACATATATAGATATTTTAAGTCCTAATTCGCGTAGGATTCTAGGCAGGCTCTTTCCTTCCATTCGGCTAGTCGCGTTCGGTTGCTGTTGGCAACGGTTCTTGCAAAACACTGCCAACAATTGGTAGAGAAGGGGAGTTGGCGCTTGGGCTGAGGTTGGGGCATATACAACCCCCAGGGCATGTACAATGCCTCCCCTACATCCACCTAGCCGCACCCTTGCTATCTCAGATGCTTGCTCATCAAAGCAAAAACAAAAGTATTCAAATTTCTTGATATAAATTACAGTGAGCACTCGTTAAGCTGCGTTAAGCAATACATAAGTAAGATTGAAGAGTTAAACTTTTTTGGACTTGTTAACTTCTTGATTGATTGATTATTGTTTTTTGTCTTTATACAGGAAAACTGAGGCTGAAAATTCATTCTCTATTTCTTTCTGTTATTCTTATGATATACCTACATATATATATATATGTTTGTGGCTGTATCGCATATTGAAATCTTAAATGAAATTTATTGTCATAGGCCATGTTCGAAGAAAAAAGCTGCTTGAAAATGTCTTTTGATTGGGCATCGCTGTAAAAAACGAGTTTAAAAGCCAGGCAAACGACTTCTATAAAAAAAACATATTCAAATACCACATTTAAGCGTAGTTTCAACACCTGAAATTTTTGGGTTTTACATACAGGTAAATCGGTATATATATATATGTATATTTCTTGGGGTTTGTTCAACTTAAGATATAAATATATTTAGCTCATCGAAATATTGATAAATTGCACAGAGTCGATAATTCGACACTTTCATATTATCGAAATAATATTAATTTAATACATTACAAATATATATGTATATATTTATATATACAGTTTTTATTATCTTGAAGTTAAAATATTCTTTTTCTTCCTATTTTTCTCATTTACTTATAATATTTGAATGCTCAAATCTATAATCAATCTAGTCCTGTCTACATCATATTTGTAATTTCATAACACGCTTAGTTGTTGGATATGATAATGAGATGTATCCAAATAATTTTTAAATATATATTTTATATGGTAATAGTTGTATTTGACTGTGACCTTTTATACTTATTTATATAAAAATATTAATACATTAATTTTCTCATATAAATAATCTATAGACATCCATTATTCATCAGACATTGCATATTGGTGCACAGCATTTACCCAACTGTAAGCTGTAAGACTTAGCATATTAAATATATATAAACAAAACATATGTAATTATCCCTCACTAGGAATCTGATTAAATTAACTAGAATTTATCATTTTTTTATTGATTTTTTTCCAGCTTGTTTGTCTGTGCAAAGATGTTTGTAGAATGTAAATTAATGCAGGACTAAATACATACATATAAATATATATATATACATTCATACATATACACATAACTGTTCTTTCGAGCATCAATAACTACCACTAGCATAATATACAAACCAGCAAAATGCCACTATTTTTTCTGTTACGCCCAACCCCACACTCTGCCTCGCTTCCCCCGTCTATTGCTTAAAAAACGAGTTGATAGCACTGCCCAATTCTGTTTAATTGGTGGCCATTGGTGCAGAGTAAAACAGAAAGTGAATCAAACTACAAAAATAAAAAGAATTCGAGACTTACACTAGCACACAGACACATATATATATATATATATATATTCACCCTCGCCCACACACAGTCACATACGCATATGCAAGCAAAAGCACACGCGCATAAAAACGAATACACTTACGTTTTTATCAGCATTAACTTGTGCTAGCGATGTTGTTGCTGTTGTTGTTATTGTTGCTATTGGCAGAGCAATGTCGACGCTGCCAGCAGCAGCAGCAGCAGCTGCCGCATTCGAATCTGTTGCGTCAGCAGCGGCGTCAACAATGTCGCTGCTGCTGTTGGCAGCAGAGCTGACAACAAGTGGAGCGACAGGCGCTGGGGATGCCGTTACCGTTGCCGAAGATGCTGCGACTGTAGCCGATGTGACCTCGGTTATTGCTTCTGCTGTTACAGCTGCTGCTGTGTCTGAGCTTACTTCGCGTTGCTCAGTCAATATTGGCTCCTGCAGCGATTGCGGCAGCGGCTGTTGTTGTTGTTCCTCCAAAAGCTCGTCTTCTTCTTCTTTGGCTGTTGCATTTGCGGTTTCCGTTTCAGTCTCAGTCTTAATGCCATCACCAGATGCGGCTGCTACTGTTGTTATTGTTGTTACTGCTTCAGCTGCTGTGAAAATTTGCGCAGACGGCGTTGCCAACTCAGCCGCAGCTGCTGTTATAGTTGTTGTTCTGTTTTCTGCTGCGCTTTTGCACGCTTCCTGCTCCAATTTGACTGCCGGTGCTTCATCTTCACTATTGTCTTTGCCTTTAGCTGCTTCGGCTGTGTGCTCGGCAACGGCATCGTCAACATCAACATTATTAGCGTATTCATTGTCGGTTGCTGCTGCTGCGGCCACCACTGCTGGCGTTTCGTTAGCTGGCGGCGTCGCTTCGGCTGCTTCTGATTGCGTCTCGTCTGCCTCTGCCGACGTAATTTTTTCTGTTACTTCTGAGCTGGCGACGCCGCTGTCACTGTTGTCGTCGACGTGAGCGTCAGCGTCGCTGGCTTGACTTTGGCTTTGGCTCTGGCCTTGAGGCTGGTGCTGGGCGCCGTCCGCAGTTTCCGTCTCGCATTTGACGGCCGCATCGAGCAATTTTGTCGGCTGCTGCTGCTGCGCTGCCTCCTGTTGCTTCTCGTGCGTTTCGTCGCTTTTGTTGCTTTGCTTTTTGTCCTTATCCTTGCAGGCAAACTGATTGTTTGCCAAATTGCGCCACTTTAGGGTTTTATCCTCGGCCAGGTCCAGGTTGAGCAGCGTACCGCCCTCGGCGGTGGTAGTGGCGCAGTCGCTGTTAAAGGTGCTCGACATGCTGTTCAACAGCTCCGCAACGTCCGTCATCGTCTTTTTTATATTTTGATATTGGTTTTTGCTTCAGCTCTTTCAAATTTTGTGTTGTTTGACTTTGATTTTTTATTTTGATTTACAGTTAATTTAAGCTACGCTTTGAGTTCTGCTGTGCTGCTGCTGCGCTGCTACTGCGAATAAGCGTGTGCATAAAAAATATGGAATCAATACTTTGGTATTCACCACGACACACGGCATCGATACCATAATGGAACGGAACGAAGGGGGGACAGCTAGGGGGAGAGCTAAGCTAATGACGATAAGATTTCGACTCGCAGCGATTTATTTAACTCTGCATTTTCATAGTGAAAACGAAATGAAGAGACAGAGCCAGCGCAGCGGCAGAGTTAATGGCAGCGACGACAAACACAAGCAAGCAGCAGGCGCTAAGAAACAGTGCAGAGCAATAACAAAAACAATATTGTAGGCAACCCACTTGTCTGCCGACAGGAGGCGCCTTTTTTATGACACGCACACCGACACAAAACGCTTGCACACATATACATGCAAACGCACGAAGTAGCGGCGCGGTTGGAGTTGACGTTGACACCACGAGACGACGTCGGCAGCGACTGCGACTACGAAAGCGTCGCTTCAGCTTTGCATTATTTTATAAATATATAGCATATAATTTCAATTGCAATTTCCAATTTCCACGTAATTATAATTAATTAATTCTTTAGCCACAATAAAGATGAAATCGTTAAAAAAAACCTCTGCCTCTGCCTGCCTTCAACCGATTCTGATTAGCTCACAACATGCTGTTTTTTTTTTTCAATTTTTTTTTTGTATGAATATGGCCAGCTTTATTGTTGTTTTACTTTTCGTCTTGCTCTTCGTCGTCTTCTTGGTGCTGGCTGCTAAACGACCGTGGTGGCTGCTCTGTCGCTGCTCTGCTACTACTAGTGCTGCTGCTGCTGGTGCTGCTGCTGCTACTATAGCAGTTATACATAGTTGCATTGGTATTTGTAATTACTTATAATTGTTGATTTTGATTTTTCAGTTGAATTTTTTTAATGCTTCCTCCCAAAAGCTAGATGGAAATTGTGTACTTATTGCTTTCTGGTAGCTGTTATTTAAATTCGTCATTTTCACACCCAAACACGATGTGAAATGAATTTACACTTACACAAAATGATGCACATTTCTGCAGTTTCGATTTGTACAATATATGTAATTATGATTTAACTAATATTTGTTGTTACAAAAGAAAATAAAGAGAAACACACACACACGCACGCACGCACACTTTGTTTTAGGTCCGTCCGCAGTTATTCGCCGCCAGCACATACCCTGTGCGTAACTCTCGGCGAACCGTCTTCGTCGTAGTCTCGCACGCTCTCACTGCTGCTGTTGTTTGGCTGTTGATAATTATGCACATTTACATGTTTCTGGTATTACGTTTTTTGGTATTTCTATTTGGTATTTTGGTTTTGAAAAGGTGGCCGCATATTAGATGGTCACAGATACCCTTCAAATTAAAAGTTTGATAACCAATGCATCGATTCTTTTTGATTTCTCAATTTGAAGCACAACTGTGAACTATTAAGCATGCCAACGCTTACTCGACTGAATTGATTTAAGACCAATTTTGATCTGCATACACAGGAAAAATATTAATATTTTCATTGTTATATTGTGCATGGCTTTGAGCTGTCAATAATTTTTTATTGTTAGGATTATTCGTAACAAATTTGTTGAGCGCGCTTTGCTACAGCTGTTGGCTCCATACGGTCTTCAGTATTTTACATAGTGCTCTATTGCGTTCACACTAAAAGACAGTATATTTTTAACAGTTCCTAATTTTTGCTTACATGCCCGTAAAAAGCATATTCTATTTTCGGAACCAGTGGCTGTAAATATTTCTTAAAATACGATGTGAATGTGATAGCTAACGATAATAATAGAATTATGGAATATGAAATAAAAGTAACATTTAATAGATTTATGAATAATTATAATTTTAGTTATGTACATAATTATTGTTATGCTCATGTATGCACTATGTCTTAGAAATAACATTTAACATTTTATTATAACTGCTAACAAAAAAACGAAACAAAGAGTCAGTTCATTCTTGATGAACCAGCTCAAACTCACGTTTACAGATATGCAAACTTACATTACATGAGAGTTGAGCGCGTAAAAGATATTCGTATCCAAAAGTAAGTGAAAAAATGTGCCGGAAAACTTAAAATAAATTATCCATCTCTTTCTAGTGTTTCGACTGTTGCGGAGCCATCCCGGTTGGTCATTCTTCATCATTGCCACCGGCGCAATTGCCACCTCTGAGGTGCTGTGGTCCATCTACAACTCAATGTGCAAGTGGATCCAATGGCGAAAGGCGCAGGTGCACGAAGTGCTCATGTTCAATGAGCTGGGCTTTGATTGTATCCTGGAGCATCGAAAGTACAGCAAGGAGGGACGCATGTACCATTGCCAAAATGTGCATTGCTCGCAGCGAAACATCGAGCGTATTATCGAGCATCTGAGCAAAGCCAAATATAGCATTGATCTGGCCATGTATTCTTTTAGCTCGATTGAGCTGGCGTGCGCTTTGAAGATGGCCTTGGGCCGGAAAGTGGTTATACGTCTCATTGTCAGTCGACACTGGGACACTAAAGTAAACTCTCAGCTCGCCAATCTCATACGCTGGGGCGCTCAGCTGCGCACCCAGAATTCGTCTTATTTTATGCATCACAAGTTCTGTGTGATCGATGGGCAAGCGCGTGTCGATCACATTTGGAGACAGAAGAAACGCAAATACGGACCTGAGACCACCTACAGCGTCCTAATCAATGGCTCCCTCAACTGGACGGATGGCGGCATTGGCGCTAACTGGGAAAATGTCCACATCACATCCCATGCACAAATGGCCACAGAATTTCAATCAGAATTCGATCGCATGTGGAAAGCGTTTGCCGATAAAAGTAGCGCAAAGTAGCTGAACAAAGACAGTGCGACAGAGACAGTTAGTGTCAATTTATATGTATATATTATATAAAACGTAATTGATATTTGAAAAGTGCAAAAGGAAAGAAGGAAAAAATATAATTTTTTCTATATAGTTATATAATAAATATTTGATCTAAAAAGTCGTTTGTAAAATTAAATGGATATTATATATTTTGTTGGTTCTAATTATCCACGTAAATCCAAGCATAAACCTAAAGCTTTGCTCGGGTATGTCCGATTGGTTATACCCTGAATTGTTGCAAACATATCTACCTAATATATGTATATAGACCCAGACACACAAATACATCTCCTGGTGTTCATTGAACCATGTAGATGACATTGATGAAGGCTTTAAGGTAAATGAAAATATGACCTCTGTGCCATAAAGTAACTGTTTATCTCTCTCTTTAACCTTTAAATTATGGCGTGTTTATAATTTAGGATTATTTATAAGTCAAATTTGGAAACTAGCTCGAAAAATATACTAGATATACTTAAATAATGCAAGTTTGATATCGATTTGATAGAAATATAAAAAAATATTCTCCGGTTTAAACTTCAGCTGTCCGTGCTAAAGCTTCGCCAGATCAATTCGAATTTAATACAAATTGTATGGTCTTTAAGCTGTACTGATTCCTAATATTGCACATAAATAACGTAAGCATCTTGTTTTATGACTAAAACCTTATATTTTTCATTTAATGATTAACGATAATCCACACATAAAACTTTTTCAAAGTCGACAAGAGGACAAAAATCACACATTTAGCCGAATACTTGAGTAATCACATTACAAAGCACTTACTAAGTAAGTATACTAAGTATATATATAATAAAATAGCCCAATCTATAGGGAGCACATGTAGTAGACGCCGTGGCATACGGGACACTTGTGCCGTCTGCAATTTTGTTGAGGCTGTGGCAACAGCGATTGAAAGTATTTGGCAATCATATCAACAATCTCGAAACGGCGGCGCTCGAGAAATTCGACGGCGCAGCTCTCGTAGTTTTTTATGCAGTGGTTCAGCATGCGGTAGAGCACCAGCTCGGTGGAAACAAACGTATTCAAGCTGCGATCGATGCTATCCACATGTTCCTCGATAAAGTTGCGAGTGAGCTGCAACAATAGTTGGGAGGCCTGATCGCTGAAGTAACGCAAGAGACCGCTGAGAACATCGCTGAAGCTGCCAAGATTGCCAATGTGTTGAACAAACTTGCCACCCAGCTGCCTGGTCAGCTGATCTATATCCACACGAAACTGACCGCCCGCATTTAAGCGAACAAATTGTGGCAGGACATCAGCAGCAGCCATAGCGCCGATCACTGTGGAGCCATTCGATAAATGCGAATGGATTTGGTGGAGGCTAAGTAAAGCCTCCTTGTAGGGTATATCATTGATGATGCGAACAATGTCGAACTTGCCACCGGTTTGACCGTTGTGCAGTTTAATTGATTCCTGGGAAATGCGATCAAATACTTTGCGACTTTGCGTGCTAAGGGCACGTCGCAAGCTATATCCATCAGTGCCCTTGGAGATGATTCGCATATTGTTTATGGAGTGCGTAAAGATTAACAGGCTAGAGGCTAGTTGCATAATATCTTTGCTATTGAGTTTCTGCTTATCGCTAATCTTTAAATAGAGATCATAGACGCCATTGAGAACACCCGTGCCGGAGATGACAACGGATGATATATTAATGCCCTTAACAGCCAGTCGGGCAGTGGTGGCCGTATTTTTGTGTATGATACTAGCTGCTTTGGTTGCGCCTGTTGCCCCCATTCCAGCAACGCCTCCAGCCACGCCCAGCCAACTGCTACGCGCTTCACTGTCGGCCAAAGATGTGGTCTGGCCATGCCAGCGGCGATCAATGAGACGTGTGGCCGAACGCACTGTGCTATACGCAGCCGATGAATAACCAACAACAGTGGCTGCCATAATTATGGGAGCAGCAACAGGACATGCCATTGAAGCTGCAATGGGCACTGTGCCAATGATGCCTCCAATTGTGAATAGCTTATCGCTGACATTCAAAACCTTCTGCTTTAGCCAGGAAGCAGGTGTTGATTGAATCATTAATTGAACCGTTTCGTTTTCGTCGTCCGCGCTGAACGTGTAGATACCTTGCTTTGGTGCAATCATGGTGCCCTTGGGCAGCCCATTATTGTGTACAAATTTCTGCCAATTTGCGTAGACACGTCCGGCTTCATCGATGAAGATCATGCAACAGCCGTCACTGTTACTGCCATCCGCTTGCACGCACTTGCGCGTCCGAATGACTGGATGGCAGCTGAAGTTAGTGGATTGCAATGCCAAGGCGGGATCCGATTCTTTGGTGACCAGCACATAGATAATAGCTGATAGCAAAGTGCGATTTGTGTAGATTCGCTGCTTCCACACATTATCAAAGAGCTGCTTGCGTTGCCTAGCCAGCTCCTTGGGTGTTTGACCTTCATCATGGATCAGATTGTTCAGCTTCTGTTGGAATACGTCTGCTTGCTCAGGCGCCAACCTGTGGGCAATCAAATTAACAAGTTTCTTCAAATAGTCTACAATCCATTATAGAATATGTTTATATCTAAACCTACGAGTCCCAAATTATTTCTGAACGTATGCCGCTGCTCATCGCAAAGTCCCGTTGTACATCATAAGCGGTGCGCTCCATATTTGCGGTCACAATGCGCAGACAATTCGATTAAATTGCAAAGCAAATTTTAATACATACACCTATATATTTGTGTTTGTAATATAAGCGTTTTTTTTTTTTCTTAGTTTTTGGTAAATAATTAATATATTTTAAGTTTAAATTGCGCGCAGTCGAACCGATTATGTTCTATTAGTGTGCACAATTATATATCGCAAGTTACACACAACAATCGGATTGCCAGGGCTGCACTGCGATAGACGACTCTCAGGCACCAATGTAATTTAAATTCATATTTCGATATCAGCAAAGAACATGATTTGTAGCAAAATATGTATGAGAAGGCAATAATAGACAATAGCGCAACAATACTGTGTTACTATATTCAAAGGAACAAAGTACGGTCAGCCACTAAATATTGCTCTAATAAAAGACGCTGCAAGAGACCCTACTTCATACAAATTATTTATTAATATTGTTGTTTATTATAAATAAATTAAGTATGACATTATACTATGGTATTGACACAGTTCAAACATGACGTCACGAGTTGCTAACAAATTCTTAGCTAGCATTCGCGCCGCGTTACCATCTTCGGCAAGAATATTGTTGTACACTGAAAACCTATCGATGTATACTTTTCGATAGTTATATACAACCAATTGTTATTTGTGTTGGTGGTGGTGCGTGTGGTGTGTTTAAATAATTTTTGCATTTGTTTTCATATTTATTATCAGTTTTTGTTTTGGCTGAACTCACACTCGAGCACACAGACACACACGCACACACACCCATACACTCGAACACACACAACCAACACAGCTTCACGATTATAGAATGTTTGAAGATGCGCATGCGCGGCCGTCGACTGCTACCAATTGCCATATCGCTAATTGTAATCATCATCTTATGCATCAGCTACATAACAAGTCCGTTGCGCAGCAAGGGCCAAAGCGATGAGTTCCTTGTCCATCTGCCGCCTAACAGCGTGGAGGACAGTGACAGCGATCAAACGACGCTGTTGGAACATCTGCCAGGAGTTGGACCTGGTCCTTTGCTGAATCTCTCCAACTTTGATTATTTGCTGGCCAGCAATGTGTGTCGACATGCGGAGCGTGAGCTGCTGGGTGAGTAGTGGCATCCAAAACCACGCCCATAATAATTGCTAATTGCTGTCATCAATTGCAGCCGTGCTCATTATCACCTCGTATGCGGGCCACGATGCATTGCGCGCTGCCCACCGACAGGCAATCTCACAGAGCAAGCTGGCTGAGATGGGCTTGCAGCGTGTCTTTCTACTGGCTGCTCTGCCGGCGCGCGAACATTTCGTGACACAGGCGCAGCTCATGGACGAGCAGGCTCGCTTTGGTGATTTGCTGCAGGGCAACTTTGTTGAGGCATATCGCAATCTCAGCTACAAGCATGTGATGGGTCTTCGCTGGGCAGCCGGCGAGTGCCAGCATCGTACGAAGTTCATTATCAAGCTGGACGACGACATCATCTACGATATATTTCATTTGCGACGCTATCTCGAAACTCTGGAGCTCAGCCAGCCGGCGCTAGCCACCAGCAGCGCCCTGTTAGCAGGCTATGTGCTGGACGCCAAGCCTCCTATTCGCCTGCAGGCGAACAAATGGTATGTGACACGTCAGGAGTATCCCCACGCTCTGTATCCAGCCTACCTGTCTGGCTGGATGTACATCACAAATGTGGCCACCGCTGCCAGGCTTGTGGCGGAGGCAATGCGTGTGCCATTCTTCTGGATTGACGACACCTGGCTGACGGGCATTGTGCGTACACGCCTGGGCATTCCCCTAAGCCGCCACAATAATTGGTATTCCGCGAATGCCGAGTTCCTCGATTGCTGTGTACGCGACCTCAAGCTCCATGGCTATGAGTGCGAGTACTTTGCTGGCCCCAATGGGGCTGATGCCAAGCTTCTTGTCGAATTCTTGCACAACGTCGAGAAGTGTTACTTCGACGAGTGCATCAAAAGACCGCCAGGTAAATCTCTCAAACAGACATGCCTAGCCACCGTCAAATCGCCAGCGCCCGAGCATGGAGTCGCCCACGTGCAACCCCTCAGGTTAAGATGACCCACCAGTCGTGTGATCCATCTGCCTGAGGATTCACCACTAGCCGGCGGACTGACTTTAATTGCTGCCGAATCTTCTCGTTCATTTAAGCTTAGGCATTTTTAGATTTAGTTCATTCCATGTGCAAGCTATCGTATATATGTTTAGACTTAAGATTGAAGAGTACTCCACACAGCGTACACACTAACTTATTACTTTTATTTAACTAAACTAACCTATTGCAATATTGATTATAATACCAATTACATTATATATATAAATACACATCTTATACGCTTGATGTCTTTTAATAAGCTCCTACAGACTGCAATGGTGTTGTATAGTTGAAAGTAATTGATATAAATGTATATATATATATGAGAGAGAGCGTCATAAAAGAGAGAGACAAGCGACAGAGACAGAGAGAGGTAATGTAAAGTGGGATAGAGGCAGTGGGTTTTCGAGAAAGAGTGAGTGGGAGAAAGTAAATACGAGAGAGACAAAGTAAGAAAGAGAAAATATATAAGAGAGACTCAGTAGGCAAGTGAAAGTAAGAGAAATATAAGACAATAGAGAATAATTGAATAACATTTCTCTCTCATATGCTAATGCATCTCTCTTTCTCTCTCCCTCTATCTCTCTGTAGAATATATATGTACATAGGTTTATATTGATATATGTAAAGGATACACAGCACAAATGAAATTTTAAATAGAATGAAGCAGATTTGATTTTGAAAAAAAATGAGACAAGACTAACAACTCCAAAAGCATGAAAGCTTCTAATGCTCGACTTAATTATGGCTGTAGGGCTTATACCACTGTGAACTGGATTTATGGATTATGCGAAAGTGGTATGAAATTAAATTCTGAATGCTGGTCAAAGTTGATGTCAACAAATTGTATTTGGAATCTAATTTTGTGGCTGACACGTTAGAAGCGGCACATGCCACAGTTTCCGGGCCAGAGGCAGGGGTACGACAGGGCGTTTTTGTATATGGGAAACTAATCAGCACTTTGTGAAGATTGGCAAGGGAATTATGCAAATGTTGTTGTTAGCTGTTCGCTCTAAGGCCACATCAAAGTCGAAACTTGACCGGCGAGCCCTTCAGCTGACAGAAAACAATTTTAGACACACACTCAGACAGAGCCAAATAGAGTGAGACAGAAATAGCGACACAGATAGAGATAGAGCTAGAGATGGGGTTTGATTGTGGCGAAACATTTGTGAAATGTCTGAAAAGGATTTCACATGTCTAACTGGAAGTGCGGAAAGGAAATTGATATTGAAACTCGCATCATGATAATCAGCTAGCTTCACAATTGTCTACGTATATATATATGCGGACACACACACACACGCGTATATATACACATATATATGTGCATTTGACATTCATATAATACATTATATCACTCACCATTAGAAACTTTTCCCTTCCCTGCTTAACTATCTCCTTTGTGGTCCGCCTCAGTGAGCTTTGAACAGAATTTATGTGACACATTTGCCATTGGCCTACCCAGTGCTTGGTTGTCGATTGTGGACATATAGGACTATGGCAGTATCTGCAAATTGTATTACTTGTATTGCAATAATTAAAAGATAGTTAGGTTTGCCTAAGTCAGAGGCACCGCGATAGCCCAAACCATATTTAAATAATTCGAGTTAAATGTATTTCATACAGGCATATTGTTTGTTTTACAGGGTACTTGCACGTCCATCAGTTAATGTTATGTTTTAGTTACCTGGACTTGGGCTGTGGTTCGCATTGGCTTTTGTGTAGTTGCGTAATCGATGGATGCTGCACAATATAGATGGGCTCAATATTTAAGACTAGTTGAGGGGGCGGCCTTCAGCCGAGATAGCCGCTGGCTTAGGCCTTGCCTTAAATGCAAATTTCGGCTGTATGCAAGCGAGGTGGGTGGTAGGTGCTCGCTGGAGTGAAGGTAAAATTGGGAAGTGTTGCTGGCCAGCTAGAAGAATTTTCCGATTCGCTGACTTTCCGCAAGACTTTTCACGTTTTTTAACACATGCAAAAGAGCCACCAAACATCCAACCAACCCACCAACCACCCCGGCTCACTCAGCAGGGTCTGGTCGCCAAGTTTTGGGTGACTTCATTACCAATTCGTTGCCAGGCAAAAAGTTGGCAGCCTTCGACTTAAATGAATTTCTTCGCATTTTTGCTCAAGTTTTTAGTTTAATTAATTTTAAAGCCAGTTCGTGGACAAAAAAAGCAAACAAAAAACATAGCAACCTTTAACTGTATCTCGACTAAGAGATGCCCTGGATTTTAATTGAAGAATTAATTTTTTTGTTTTGACACCAAGATATGTATCTCAACTTTCATATCAAATTTCGAGAGCCTACTTTTTACAGCTGACGTGTTCGATGAGCGCCGGCATACTCATTACCACAATATACAGGGTATCACAGTACAGAAAAAATGAGCAGCAAAGAGCGACGTAGAAGAAAGAGAAAAGTTCAAATTTATTTTTATTTGCTTATTTGATTTATGCGCTTAAGTGAAAAGGCTGGCAAAGTAAATAAATTAGTGCAAAAAGGATTAGACGCACAAAAAAAACGTGCAGTACAGTGAACACGCTACAAACTTGTATGGGGTGCACTCAACAACCAAGCAAGCCCCAGTCATCCCCCAGTCCCCAATTACTGCAAACAACACTCCGCTCCGCCTTAAGGTCCGCTGCTGTCCCTTTGCCCATAAATCATTCATTTCCTTTTTGCCAAAAGGCACAAAAAGCGAGCCACGCAAATTTTTATTTAATTTATTTGTCGCTGCTGGTGGCGTTTCCTATTGAAGCTTCCCTGTTACTCCTCCTCCTCCTCTCTCTCTCTCTCCATCACTCTCCCTCACACATACATACAGTTACTCTCGCTTTCTTCAATTCGCTTCGCTTTTGCGCGGCGAAATGAAATTGTGAATAATTCGCATGTAGGCGGAAGGGACGCAAATTGCAGGCAAATTGCATGAAAATTAGACAAGAAACAAAACAACATAAAAAAACTGTAAAAACAAGAAGTCAATTAAATGTAGTTGACGGCGCAATGCTCTGTACAACATGCAATGCAAAATAACTACAGATAAAAGTTGCTTCTCAAGAATTGACCAGAAGATTCTAAGACTGTATAAATGTCAATCGCTGTCAAACCATGACTAGAAAAACATAATATACAATTTCGTTAATTTAAAAATGTTCTATAAATTCTTGACAATATGGCCGTCTGCGCCATGTGAACAGAGTATAAGCAGTAGCATAAAAACATGAAAGTTAAAACAATATAAGGCACATAAAGAGGACTAAAGCGAGTCGGAGAGTGAGATGAAGAACGGGAGGTGAGATCGTGGCTATTGTATGAGAGTGTTAGTGGAGAGGGCAGTTCGTGCAAATAGCATTTCACATTTAAAATTGTATTGCGGCAACCGACGTGCAACAGGCCAACATTGGTGTTGTCCCCTCTTACCTGAAGTGGATGTCAGTTGTTGTTCTTGGTCTTTCGTCTGCTGCTATCTCCATGGTCTCTGCTGCCGCTGCTGCTGCTGCGACTGCTGTTGCTACAGTTGTTTAGCATCTCGTAATTCATTTTGAGCGCACGCAAAAAGCGCGCTGTCAGCTGCTATAAGGCTCTGCTACAATGAGTGCCATATGAGGCACTACATAACTATACATACATATATAGCTGTAGACACACATACACCTATTCTTACATTGTATATGCATATATATAGATACTTATGTATGTATGTATGTGCCAACGCTTACGAGCTTTTCATATTGCCATTCGTGCAGTTAGAAGCTTTCACACGCGTCTGCATTCCCATAAACAATTTCGTTGGCAATCTGACCAAGATCTAAGAATATACATATGTTCATGATTGTATGTGTATGGTGCTGACTAGAAGATTCTCTTCCAAAGCTATCGAAGATTGAACATTTGCTAGCTGGAATATCAACTGCTTGTACATACACACACACACACATGCATAAGCCTTTGCATGAATGTATGTTAATAAATCTAGTCTACATATGTACATATATATATATATATATATATATATATATATATGTGCGTACTACATTCAATGCGAATAGCTTACAACAACAATATGTAATCTATATGCACATACATATACATATATGGAATGGATTTATAGCAATTGCCAGCCTGTTAGCTGTTAGCTGAAAGTCCACTTCCCTTTCCGCCCCCTTGCGCTTCGATGGCATTCACAGTTGCCGCCGACAATCGATTAACGCGATTCATGATGCTGCGTTGTCGGGCCGCAGCTGTTAAAGCGAGTTCCGTTATGAATTATGCGACTGTCGACAAAGGACGTGTATTAAAGTCGATGTGAGAGATGCGTTGGCAAATGAAATTTTAATGCAGACTTAACACAAACAGACAAGCAGAGAGACAACGAGTGACGAAAGCAAAAACTCAAATACATTTTCAGCTTGGCAAACAAACAAAAAAGAAGACGAAGCGAAACGAAATGAAACGAAATAAAATAAAATAAAATAAAAACCACTCTCGAGTCAAAGTCAAAGTCAAAGGCGGCTTCAAGTCGTGCGAATCACATGTGAAGGCAAACACAGCTCAGACTCCTGTTGCAATGCCAACGGGTTTCCATGCATACATATATACACATATACAACTGGCTGTGTGTGTGTATGTGTTTGCGTGTATATAAATTTATCAAAATGTTTGTTGCGTGCCAAATTTTATTTGACTTTGCATGACTTTCGTGTGTCTTTGAACTGCAGCAACCATCCGCTGTAAATACCGCAAGAAAAGAGAAGGCAAATAGACAGATCGATAACAGCGCCTATTTAAGCTATCGAAATGGATGTTTGCATCTAATCAGTTCCATCATACCTATAAAGCCTTCAATCGAATAGAGTCTGTACCGTTTCATGCATGGAGTCTGCTGTTGATAATACGAATATCAGACAATTATTTTGGAATCATTGAAAATATGAATCATATTTGTGAGCACTTTCGAAATAGCTGCGACAACCGACAACATTTTCATGGGAACTCAAATTGATAACATTCGGTTAATATTATTAATATAGCTTACGTTGGGTTCCCATAGCTGAAAACATGCTGCAAAGCTCATGTTAATAAAATGAAGTACTTGAAAAGTTGAAGCCTATAGCCAGCTTATAACCACACCTCTGTTATGTGAAGCTTATGCTGACGATAAACTGAGATTTCATATTTCCGAATACAACTAATTTAACGAACATTTGTCAACGAAATTCATGTTAATCACACTTAAAGCCATCGAACACCATAAACATAGTGAGCTATTGATATAAAACGTTTATGTTAATAGCATTTAAAGTCCTTAAATTCCAATATGCCTCATGCCTCATGCTATACGAAGGCCCGCTGAGATCACAAATCACCCTGAACAACAGCTGACAGTTTTAACTGCGCCGCAATTGGAAATTCTTTGAGGCCATAAAAACTCAATGCTGTTGCTGCTGCTGCTGCCAGCCTGTTTGCCTGACCATTAGAATGCGGCCTCGATGGCCAGCGATTAGGGAGTCAGTCACTCACACACACACACACACACATATATA